GTGTGGGCGTGGATGTGAGTGTGGGTTTGGAATGTGGGTGTACGTATGAGCGTGGATGTGAGGGTGAGTTTGGGATGTAGGTGCGGGTGTAAATGAAGATGATTAACCAACACCTACAGTCACGCTCACACTCACGCCCACACCCACACCCACATCCTCACTCACGCTCACGCTCACACTCACACCCACATTCACATCCACACTTACACCCACACTCACGCCCACACTCACACTCACACTCACGCCTACACTCCCATCCACCTACCCCCACACCCACATTCACAACTACACACATACGCACACTCCGCACCCACACACACATACACTCCGAATGATGTAAAAATCATCTCGACATGGAAGACATTCGAAAAAACAACAGTCTATGACTGGATTCGATCATAAGATGGACTTAAGCTAACCATGAGAACTTCAGCTCATTCTGCCAATATTAAATTTGTTGGAAAAGTGCAGATTCTGCGAATTTTTTTTTCACACGGCGATAGTTTTACATTTCCGAATAGCATCAAAAATCAATTTAATACCAAATGAAATTGAGTTGAAAACTTGGCTTGCTTAGCAAAACTTTCCATTTATCATGTAATAGAAGGATGTTGAAAACTAAAAGAATTTATTGATCTGTTTCTTTCCAAAGATGACTAATTATGCTCCAAAAATCTGTGTTCAATGAGCTTTCCTTTGGTATAAAACGAAATGTTGTTACTACCAGTAATGAAAGATAGTTATCCCTCTTTACAAACGTTCTTATTCACTCCGCCGAAAAATCGATAGCGGTGACTTGGTCTTACCATTGTAGTGTGAAAAATTCTGTTGATCACCTCATACTAAGGTCTCATTTGTTGAGATTTATTACCATAATCGTTCGATTTAAATTTCCATAAATAAAAACGAATAAATCTTGTTTTGAAAGCATCACTCGTTCTTCAGTTATTTGCATATGATTTACTTCGTATTAAGATTACAGTCGTCTACAATAACATATAAGAGAAAATGGAACACAAATATTTTATATTGACACTCATTGGCATTAAGTGGAAAGACAAGAGTGCTGTTTTTTCGTTCTTCGACAAGTAAATGAAAGATTAAAAAGTAATACAGGTTAGAGTCTTTCTTTAGTCCTAATGAATCAAATGAAATTATACATAGCAATATTCTGTCATTGATCACTAATATTTGTTCTCTGCTTTTTTCTTAAGCGAATAAGGATAAAATGTGACTAGCCCTCGATTCAACGTGTAAAACGATTAGAAGAACAACTTGTTAAATGATAAATAACAGATGAAAACATCTCCCATAGACAGTGTAAAACATGATTGAAAATAAAACGAAGGAGTATAGAATTGCAATGAAGAACATTTTTGATTTATAACGAAAATAAAAAAATTTCGTCGTTACACTTTTATACTCTTTCGTTTTCATTTTATTCTAGCTGCAATATCATCTAATTACGATTCAGAATGTCATTAATGAATCGATCTCATAACTTCACATTGGTTCGTAACATTCCAGCACAGAGATTACCAGAAAATAGATTTGGTATTACTCTGGTTTGGCTTGAAAATATCTCGTGTTCATCATGTGATGACAATCAAATTCGATTGCATAGTTTTAGCAATAGATGTTTTATTGTTTATTATTCAAATATATCGAAATGTATTAAATACTTGAAGCGAGTTCGATCACGTGAATATGTCATTGCTATTATTGTGTCTTATCCCATGGAATCAACTCAACGCATTATTCATCGACTTCAACAACTTGGTGTTATTCAGACAATATTTGTTGTTTACTCCGTTAGTGATCCCGATAATCATCTGTCGTTGATAGCCGATAATTTTCATGTTTTTCAAAATCATGAATTAATGTTTGAACTTTTAGAAAAACGAATTCAAGAAGTTGAAGAACAAAATTTGAATGGGGGTTTATTTACCACGTTCTATCGAAAAGAAAAGTCTCTGAAAGATGTTCGAGAGGATTTGGCGATATTTGCTTGGACTCATGTATTCAAAGGTTAGTGCTTCGAAAGTATTCATTCAAAATCATTTATATCATATATTTAGTTCTATTGATGAGTATGCCTCGTGACTCACTTGAGGCTAAACGTCAAATGTTAAGTGAATGCCGAGCTTACTATCGAAATGATGCTGTTCGATTAGCTCAAATCAATGAATTTGAACGCAAATATCAATCAAAAGATGCCATTTGGTGGTATACGAAACCTGGATTCTTATTTTATCTCGTTAATAAAGCTTTACGCAGTCAAGATATTTGGGTTCTGTATAAATTTCGTTATTTTATTATTGATTTATGCTGTCGCTTGGAAGAAGTTTCCAGTTCACAATCTTTTTCATCAATTCGTCTTTATCGTGGAGCAAAACTTAATCGCGATGAACTCAAACATCTCCAAGTTGGTTGTCTTGTATCAACTAATGGATTTTTTTCATGTTCATCTGATCGTAATGTAGCAGAAATGTTTATTGGTACTGATCTTGTAACTGATAGATCTTCAAGTCGCGATCGAGATGCATGTCAACAGTTCGTTTTATTTATTATTGATGTCAATCGTAGAACATCTACGAATATAGTTGTAGCAGATGTCAGTCATGAAAGTGAATTACCAGATGAAAACGAAATGATTTTTAATTTCGGATCGACATTCATTATCAATGAAATTTGTTTTGATAACGATAAATGTATATGGTTGATTCAAATGAGTTCTTCTTCAGACAATGCTCGAATCAATGATGAACAGGAGAAATATACTCGTGAACGTCTTCAACACATCAATCCAACTATCATGTTCGGCCATGCTTTAGCTGACACCGATAGTGATTTTAGTCAATCGATGAGTTATTTTCATCGTTTACTCAGAATATTACCCATCGATCATATGGAACGACCCAATATTTATTATTATTTAGGACGCATTTATCGGTTTATCGAGAAATTCGAAGAATCTCTCAATTGTTTTCGATGTGCTCGACTACTTGTTCGTCGTCTTTTACCAGAGAGAATGTTTGATTATTGTCGTATTTTAGGTGGACTTGGTACTATCTATTCACACTTGGAAGACTCTGAACGAGCATTAAAATTACTTACACAAGCTTTAATGCTTCAGAAGAAATCACTGCCGAAAAATCATACAGAAATTCCATTTCATTTGAATCGTCTTGGTCATGCTTATTTCAAAGTCAAACAGTATGATCTTGCACTTTCAATTCTCGATAGTGCTGAAAACTTTTTCCAGACAAAAATGCCTATTGCCCATCAAGGATACGCTCACACTTTGCACACGATGGGTTTAGTGTATCGTGCTCTTAGTGACGATAAAAAAGCAGTGATCTATTTTCAAGAAGCACTGCGTATACGATATGCTTCACTTGGTAAAAATCATCCTTTGCTTGCTTCTACTTGTTATCAACTTAGTCTCATACATTACGATCGCGCAGAATATGAAATTGCACTTGACTATGTTCAAAAGTCTTTAAATATTCAGTTGATCAAATTGCCATACTATCATTCTGAACTGAAACTATCAAGAGAACTTCTTCGATGCCTTCAGCAACATCAATAAATGTTTCAAATTATTTTTCTGTCATTGGCATTAGAGTTAATGTGTGTCTGTTAGCCAGAAGAAACTTCATTGTATTTAATGATGATTCTCATTTGAATTAAATCTTCACCTTAAACAAAATTATAGCCACGCTGGTATTTCTACAATCAAAATCTAGGCAGAAATTATTAAAATGGTTGTTTTATTAATGTGTTCAAACAATCGTTAGACTGCTAGTGACTCATTTAATTTTTTAGAGATAATCTACTTGAAACAGGGTATGATTGGCGAACAATGAAGTTGAACATGAATAAGTGAGCGTGAAAGATGATTCTTTCATAGAAGACCTTGTGTATTCTTAGCTCCATATAGAGTGAATCCGTAGGGTTTCTATCACTTTCAGGAAATTTTTTTTCCAATTTTAATAGGCCAATTAAACATAACGTCGTCGAAAACGATCTGAGGTAACAATTAAAATCTTTTTACTCATGAAAAGTATGGAGATCCGAGTCGTTTTTTAGAAACACTCTACAAACATAAAGAGTATCCTATAATAAATTGTTAATCATATTTTTCATACTTTTTATTGATATAGAGAGCTGAAATTTTTATCACAAATATATCTAATTAAGATCTTTTATTTTTGAAAGTTTCAGCTCTCTAGCCAAAATTAGTGGTGAAATACATCGACAAGACTGAAGTACATAAACTTTCATATCTGATTTTTATATATTTTTACTATGAAACTTTGCAAAGATCAGTACAAAAACTAATGTATTTCATCACTAGTTTTGGCTAGAGAGTCGAAACTTTCAGAAATAAAAGATCTTGATTAGATATATATGTGGTAAACATATCAGCTTTCTATGTCAATAAAAAATATGAAAAATATGATTAATAATTTATCATCAATTATCATGGGATACTCTTTATGTGTGTGGAGTGTTCCTAAAAAATGCTGTGAATCTCCACATTTTATATTTTCAAAAAGTTTTTAATTGTTACATTAGACCGTTTTCGACGATGTTACGTCTAACTAGACTGTTAAAATCGAAAAAAAAACTTTCTTTCAGAACATTGGCATAGAATATCCTTCTTCTAAAAAGTGATAGAAACCCCACAGATTCACCCCATAGCGAAAAGACGTTCATCAGGAAAACTTTAGTGTATTTGAAGGCACTCTTTTAAAATGGACAACTAGGATTTTTTAAAGTCAGGATTCAATCTTTTCTTCGAAGAATTTGTTCTGAGGTATATAGACGACACACTAGCACTACAAAGAGTAGAAATTGTTTCCTCTAAAAAAATTGGACGGTGTGGGTGTAGGTATGAGTGTGGAGGTGTGTAGGTATGAATATTGGTGTGGGTGCAAGAGAATGAAAGTTCTACACCCACACCCAACCCACCTAAACTGAGTTTCTGATCAATGGCAACCAACAACAAATGGACATGATCAAATATCTTTCTGAAAAGACTGAAACATCAGAAAAACAAGTTCAAACGTTTACAGATATCATGTATGAGCTAATATTTTCTGTCTTTGATTAAGTTTCATTTGCAAAAGTTGAGTGTCATGTCTTTTGATATAAATGTTGCAGTGCATGCTATCAGACACATATCTCAAAATGTGATTTCGGACGCTGATTTTAATGGATAAAAATGCAGGTCTCTATTTTTATTGGAAAAAAATATTTCAAAAAAATACAAAAAAATGTACCAGTGCGATAAAGTGCATTTTTCACAGTTTTCGAGCAGAAAGGACCTAACTTGTTGATAGTGTGGAAAGCATAATCTCTGTCGTGAAAGCTTTGTTTCGGTCTCGAATGAAAGCTCGCCACCCGATCTGTTTAGTTTTGAAAAGAAAATCATGCACACTATCAGAATCCTGAAACATTGGATTTTAAAAAATCTAGTTTTTGTTTGTAGCAAGTGAAAATATTGTTCTACTTTTACTCCATTCTAGAAAAATACTTGTAGTTTCATATTAGAACTTGGTAAAGATGTGGTTGACTTGTCATTATGATGAAAATAGAATTGATTTATGTGTTTTCAAAAAATTCGTCTAGGTTTTCCAGAAACCCGAGAGTCGAATGCGTATAACTTTTTCCTAATAAACAAACACATCTGTAATTTTCGTCATTCGAATCAGCATGCGAAATTGCATACAGAAATGACTGCCTCGTAACATGTGTTGAATATCGACATAATGATAGGAATTAATCTATACTTGTGAACAACCTCTGCTTCTTTCTAATTTTCTCGACTTTAACTGTTCCTACACAAGCAATTCAGTTGGAAAGTATTTCTGATGTAATACGAGTCAATGACGAAATATATATGTCGGACTTGACTCTAAAGTTCAGTTAACTTTAGAATATTTTAATGTTAACTAGGGGCTTTTAAAGTCAACTTAGGAGAATTTTAAACTCCACTAGTTGACATCAAAATATTTTAAAATCAACTGAATTTTAGAGTCAACTTTGGCATATACATTTATTTTCTCTTCTCTTTTGAACTAGAGTCAACCATCTGACTATATTGAAATGTAGACTTATGCATTGTAGATTATTTCTGAAAGTATAATACTTTGGCAGCATATTAATAAACTTGAATGAAAGCTACAAGGAATTGGTTTTTCAAACTTTTGTTATTTCTTTTTTTTTCACAAAAATAATTCACTGGAAAACGCGGTCTTATGAAGTGGCCGTTAATTAGTGTCTGTGATCATATTCGTCAAGACGAACAACAACGAAAAGAGTATTAACACACATATCCGAAAAAAAATATACAGCTAAACGATGGCAACATGGAGAAGAGAGTAGAGTTGAATAAGTGATGCTCGAAATCAAGCTGAATAAATAAACATTGCCGAGGGTTGGTGTGAGTGTGGATTGTGGGCGTAGGTGTGGAGTGCGAGTGTTGGGTATGGGTGTTAGTGAAAGGAAAAAATAAATCCACATCCACACCCACCCTACACTCTAGTTGGATGCTGGTGCTTGTGAAATACTGAAGAACTGCTGTCTTCTCAGTGAAATAGTCATTGACCGTAGCCATTTTTTAGTTAGATATAAAGTCTTCTGCATGATAAAATCCAGTCGGGTACACATCACACGGCACGCATCATCAGGTCTTGAAATTATCAATAGCGTTACGTAACTTTTAAGATTTGTGTGTCTATCAAGGACAGAAATAATATCGAGTTTTTGAGTGAAACTTCTTAAAGACGCATTCTGCGGAATTCACTATAAAAATAGTGAGTCTCAGTTTGAGTGTTAGTTCGAGAACTTTCGCCCTAACAGACAGTCGATTATTACAGACATCCCTCCTTTACAGACAGCGATGACTGCAAGTGGCTGTTCTAACCACAACTATTGTGTAGTAAAATAAAATTAAAAAAAGAATTAATTTCAAAAATGGGTATTTTTGTTTTTGAATTGCATATCGTTGATTGACAACATACTTTGTCGATACTTTTACGTCGACAGACAATTCGTCGATCATCAGTTTTGTCGACACTTTTTTTACCGACAAATATTTTGTCGACGATCAGCGCTTCATACGTGATGGGTGTGGCTGTGGCTGTGACTGAAAAGGAGATGCGCATCCACATTCACATCCATACTCAACCAAGCTTATTCCTTTTTGCTGACAGTAACGGAAAATTTTCGATTGTTGAGGAGTGCACACTTCCAACACCTCGGCCACTTTTACGATCCCTGGTTCTATCAATCGAATATTGATCCTTTCGCTCTTCTTTTACGAAATTCAATTTTTCAAAGAATAGTATTCTGTACGTTAGAATGCATAGGACTAATATCAAGTTTCCAATTACCGAAAGATTATACCATGCGTTTCATAATCTTCATAGAATACAGCTGAAAATGCCATCATGAGACTACAGCATTCGAATGCAAGCTATGATCACAATAGTAATCGGTTGTTTCGTATTTGTTCTTTGCAGGTATTTGAAATTTTATTTTTTTTCAGCTTCTCTAACATTGGGTGATCTTTCATTTTAGTTTGACAGGTTAGATTTTTGTTTTGTTTTATATGTTCGATTATTAATTTAGTTCGTTGCTAGTTCAAGTCAATTCTCAAATAACAAGACCTGATAATGGTATTTGTGCAAGAGCGAAATGGGCACAGAATGCTACCACTGTAGCCGGCGGTCATGGTCAAGGATCTGAACTTAATCAGTTGAATTTTCCTTATGGATTCTTTCTCGATGATAATCAAACTATTTATGTAGCAGATTCCGCTAATCATCGTGTGGTCAAATGGGAATGCGGTGTTTCAAAAGGCCAGTTAATCGCAGGTGGAAAAGGAACAGGAGATCGTGAAGATCATTTGTATAATCCATCCGATGTTGTTGTGGATAAAGATGGAACAATATATATTAGTGATTATAAAAATCGGCGCGTACAGCGTTGGTCTCCAAATGCTCAAAGTGGACAAACAATTATTGGAGATATATCTGCCTTTGGCATAGTAAAAGACGATCAAGGATCACTTTATGTGTCGGACTTCAGGAAGGGTGAAGTGAGAAAATGGCGTATGGGTGAAACGGTCGGACAAGTGATCATTTCAGATTTGAGTCAGCCGTCCCTCATGTTTGTTGATCGGAATCGATCTGTCTTTGTGACTGAGACAGGCAGTTCTATAGTGACAAAAGTGGATGATAGGTCAACGAGAATGGAAATTGCTGCAGGCGCATTATACGGTGATGGTGACGATGAATTAGCATCCCCAATGGGTGTTATTGTCGATCAATTGGGTACGGTCTATGTGGCTGATTCTGAGAATAATCGAATAATGCGATGGCCACGTGGAGCTAAATCTGGTAGTCTTATTGCTGGTGGTCATGAGCAAGGTTCCCAATCTGATCAACTTAATTATCCCACTGATTTATCATTCGATCTTGATGGAGATCTCTATGTGATGGATAATAGAAATCATCGTGTGCAAAAATTTGCTATTGATAAGAGTTTGTGTTGACATGTATGTGCAAATTACTCTTTTCTAATGGTATAGAAAGAAGAAATTTCAAAGCGACAACAATGATGTGTCGTAGCTAACACTCTTCTTTTAATAAATTTGTCCACAATAAACTGACCCGTAGACTGGTAAAAGATCCAAATCAATCTGATACAAACTATTCTTTCAAAAAGTTCATGTGTACAGGTTTTCAGATGAGTAACATCTTCGAAAAGTCAATTCATATGTGCTCAATCAAGGTTCTCAGATTTTATTTGATTTCAATATGTTATAGAGTCGATAGTTTCATAACTGTGGATAAAAACCAATTCAGAAAAATATTGAATTCTCGATTTTATATGAGATTACATAAAAAAAAACGTCTTCAAAAAATAGACATCGTGGTCTTATAAAAGGCAAAAAGCATCAATTGATGAACATATCTGAAAAAAGAGTAGACATTTATCTGGCAATCTTTTTAACTAGACACACAATTATCGCGCAAGAATGTTGGTCTGTTAGTAGGCACGTACGTCACAGACATATCTATATGTTTAATCAAAGGTACCAGAACGACTCCTGATATTTGGATAAGTATCCCGTGAAAGCATTGTCTGCTTCATCAAAGAAAGAGAAAAATACAAACAGCAGTGTCCCATATCCAGAAAATCGGAGATGCAAGAGATGCTTCGAAGGATGAGGAGATGAGAGATATGTTGCATCTCCGGTATATCTTGTCTCGATTTGTATTCATCGATTACATCGATATTGACCATCGTGTGATCTCATTGAGACAAAGACGCGATATACGACTCGTCATCTATGCAGGCAAGACAAGTGTTTTGAGCTACTCATATCTTTGGTCTAAGACGAGACGAAACGATCACAGACGAAAAAACTTTTTCAGATCACGACTCAACGGCTAGCCCATATCCTGGAGGAAGATGTGAACCAGTTTTCTTTTTCAATGAATTATGTAACTATGACTTTATAGCGTGGATAGATCATAGCGAAGAAGAGAAATCGTTTATTTGCTTTGACGATGAAAGAAGTTGTTCAGTGTCGTTCGGATTTAAGACAGAAGTAGTTATGACATAGCCTGCCGTCTTCCTTGTGTTTAGGGACGAGATGCGCACATTCGTCATTTTTTGAATCTCGTTTTCGGTTCGATCTGAAGATGGAATTGTGGGTATGCTAAGGGGTAAATAGCGGAATCCTGAAATCCTGAATTTCACATTCTATAAAATTCCATAGAATCTTGAAATATATCGCAGGAAATTCCCAGAATTCCAGAATTCCACTCACTACTTACCCCTTGGAATGTGTGAGCATGGAAGTGAGTGCGAGTGTAGAGGTCTGTGGGGGTTGGGTGAATAGAAGAACCACAAGTATATCCACACCCACGACCACATCCACACATATACCCATGACCGCACGTCCACATCCACATCCACTCGCACTCCCCAAAACAGAAGTTTGCGTGTGACAGTGATTTTTAAATGATCACAGTTAAAGGGGAAAAAACAAAAGAAAAACGATGCATTTGTCATTTTCGCTTATGACTGCGAAAAAGATTACAAAGAAATTTCGTTTGTTGAGTGACAATGACTGTACAGTATGGCTTAGTAAGTTGGAAAAAGAAACAAAAATTTACTTTAGGTTTGCGTTTGTTTCGCAAAACGTCCTACATATCTACATTAAAAAGTGTCTGTCACGAAGCCTAAAAAGTTCCCTTCCTCCGCGGAGTCACGGAAGGAACGTTTTTTTAGATGTCGTAGCAGATCCACAAAAGTTTCGCGAAAGAAAAGCAGAAAACTTTCTTCACTCTATAGAGCTTTGAAAGATGTTATATATTTCTTACCAAAGCTTTTTGAATTCGGTATGAAATATAAAAACGTTCTTCCCGTGGACACATAGTAACAATTCTTTAGAGTCGGTAGGAGCTTTTTCTTAGAGTATAGTATTGATATTCTTTAAAATTGATCTTTCTTATATGGCCACAGCAACAACGACTCGTAAGGTAATTATGAGTTAAAGATCCGATAGCTTCTGAAGTTTCCATAGCTCTTTTCTCAATGCCAGTCTAGAGAAAACTACTTTAGAATTTCTTTATAGAATACATTTTTTTAAAAATGTTAAATACTCAGTGTTTATTTATTTAGTGGATCAATAATTTGTTTATTTTTTTTTCTCTTCTCTCTTGTAACTGATGCTTTGAATAGTATAACTTATGATATAATTCACATAAAACCTTAAAAAATTTAATCATAATCCTTTGTTTCGATTCAGACTTTGGTCACTTCTCTTCTTCAAAGTCTTAATCACGACCACGTACATATCTAACTATGACAATTTGAGAAATATTTCGAAAATAAATACAAGTTTGAGGAAAATTTCTTCGAATATAGGCGTTTTTTTCTACAATTGCAATTATCTGAATTGAACTTGAGAATTTATTTTTGATTGTAAGTTAAATCGAAGTTGTATTTTTTGAGAATCGTCTATAAAAAGTAACAAAGCATCAAGTACGAAGAAAAACATTAGGTTATATTTATAGATCATTTACCTGGAACTATTAAAAAATATTTTTCTTTATTTCTCTTTCCAACATTTCTTTTATTTTAAGTATACACTCAAAATTTACAAATTGATATCGAATGTTTTTTTTCATGCTTTTGTGCATAATTTACATAGTATATTGACTAGGTATACTGCGTAGAAAACTTTATTAAATAACGTCAATACATTACATTCTCATTATACATGTTTATTGAAATTATAATTTACGCATACAATACCTCTACCTTTTGACATGCTTTTCTCTTTGAATGATATTATTTAAACGATTGTTTGCACTCATATACTTCAATAAATCACGAAACAAATTTTCGAAGGTATTTTTCTATGATAAATTCATTGTCAACAATGTTTATTTTTGTTTTCATAATACTTCTGACAATTGGTCCCATTCAATGTACGTAGTTCCTTTTTAGACTTATTAGATAATATGCTCATTTCTTAGTAGTAACTGCACAAGGTTGTGGTCCTAATGAAATCCAAGTTAATTGTGCTTCATTACAATCGTGTCAACCAACTTGTGAAAAACCTCAGGGAATGTTATGTCCACGTGTTTGTGCTATAAATTCATGTGTATGTAAGGATGGTTTTGTACGAGATGATGAGAATAATTTACAATGTATTGAACAAACACAGTGCCATACAAGTAAGTCATTTGTTTGATTCAATATAGATGTGCTATTGTTTTTATTCTTATATGTGTATTTTAATGAAGTGTCATTTTTTCATATAGGAAACGTGACAGAAGCTCCCATATGTGGTGAAAATGAAGTATATAGCAATTGCACGAATCCATGTCAACCATCATGTGAAGAACCAAATCGTGAACCTTGTGAAACTTTACGCTGTTCAGAAGGTTGTGTATGTAGCAAAGATTATCTTCGTGCTACAAATGATACGACAAGTCCATGTATCATATGTACTAATTAATAAACTGAAACTTTTTATTGTAAATAAAAAATATTTAATCATACAATTGGTGTTTCTTCTTTTTTTTTTTTTGCTTTTTGTATTATAAATTTTGACAATCAAAAAACATATATATATATGTACCCGATATATTTTTTGTAGGACTTCTGGTTTAGGAGTTATGAACCGACCTTTTAAAGGTTCTATAAATTAAATTTAGGCGAAGAAAACTGACGTTCTTTGCTATTATAATATTCTTTACTGCATACGCTATATTACCGATTGTTTTAGCATTGAATTAAACGCAATATTGTTTTTCTACAAAGTTATATAAGAATCAAGAGTTTCAGAACAATAATTCAAGAATGACCGAATTCACTTTACAAGTCTGTTTTCAATAGAACTTGAAAAGATTACCTCAATTGACACAGTGTTATCAAATGATTTACATCGAACTAATCATTAATCTGCTATTTTATTGAGAAATGTTTACTCTCTCATTTGCTGTATTTGAAATAAATTTTGCTTCTACTTTGGTAATTTTTGGTACGTTAAAGAGTTCGTCCAAGTTTCGTTTACGAACCTCTAAAAGGTAAGTGCATAACTTCTAAACCAGAAGTTCTACAAAAATTTTGAATCTATTTTTGAAAAAAACACAAAACTCTGATTCTAATCCAATGTTTTCAAATTTCTTCAGACTCTTTAAAAAGACTTAAAAATAAATGAACATCTTATGTAATTACTTTTCGATCAGTCGTTATAACAAACAAAATTAATTTTCTTTTTCTATTCAATCTACATGATATTGTCATAGTTTTCTCTGTCATTTATAGAAATAAATTCAACCATTTTTGTATCATGTTTTAAGTTCTCGCTCTCGAATTCCCCATCCAAAGTCCATATTCTATGACACGATGGTCTTGACAACAGTATATAGTTTGATGCTCGTTGAGATGTCATTTGAGACGTTGAGATCTATATATGATATAAGTTTTATCCGTTTTGCAGTTGGATGTTTTGTTCACCCAAAGTAAAATTCGAATATTAGTAATAATCTATGGATTTTTTTTCATTATGTCGATAAAATGAAGTAACACTAGCCTCTGACCTTTGTCATGATTAATTATTGTTAGTACTAATGATAATCCATCAATGAACAGTTGTTGACATCTTGCGTATTAATTAACAGAACTTTCTAGGACACTACTTGTAATACCATTTGTTATGGTTGTGCAGGAAAAAAAACTAAAGTGGAAAATATCAAAGTTTTTTCTTTATCAAATAAATACAATAAGCAAAGCTTATGTACGAAGAACGCAAAATATCAACATTTATTATATTTAAATAAACTGCTTGGTGAAACATGACAGAGTTATCCAGCAATTTCTCAATGTAAATAAATTGAATTGAGGAGTGTGTTTTTCCATGATAAACATAAAAAGAGTAGATGTAAATTCAACAATAACGTCCAGTAATAATAGTAAATTTGCATCTATTCGATAGATACTAAGAGTTTTTATTATTTGTACAATGTTGAATATCGAAATTTGAAATACTTCACACTCTTCTCGCACTCTGAGCTAAGCTCAGATGTCATCTAATTTTATTAATGGTTTCTTTCTGGATAATAGTGACATCTTATGTTACTAGCGAATCTTCTTCTAGTCTTTTCTTCACATTTCTTCCAATGAAGCGACACACTGATTCATTTTTCTCTATATATTCATTCATTCATTTATTCAATGGTAAAATGAAGTAAAAATAACGTCATCAATGCTACCATAGTTTCTTTTTATTTATTTATTTCAGATAAAAAACTATGTCTCATTTTTGCTATAATCGTGGTTGTCAAAAAAAATATACACCAACAAATGATCCATCACAAGATGATACTGCTTGTCAATATCATCCTGGTTTACCCTATTTTCATGATGCTTATAAAATATGGTCATGTTGTCAAAAAAAATCTCATGACTTTGGTGCATTTCTGTCATTGCCAGGTTGTACACGTGGTCCTCATCAACCAACTAAACCTGAAGAACCAGTTGCTCCTCGTGCAACTGAACAAGAACAAGTAGTCGTACCTAAACCTACTATTCGTGAAGAAACTCCAAAGCCACGAGTACCTGTTATTGAACGACCACCAATGGATGCTCCATTAACTAAGATGAAATTAACAGTATCAACAAGTTTACAAGAAGCATTAGAAAAATTAGCTATTACTCCAAAAGTTAATACGAATCAAAAAGAACAATTTAATGATGAAGTTAAACCGGGTACTTCATGTAAACATGCATCATGTGGAGTTCTATATACTACAGTTGATCAAGAACAAGCAACGCCATGTAGATTTCATCCAGGTGTACCAATTTTTCATGAAGGTAACGTTCAAAATAAAAAAAAAAGAAAACTTTACTTTATTAATAATAAAAACACAAAAAAAAAACATGTTTTTTTTAGGTATGAAATATTGGTCATGTTGTCAAAAGAAAACAACTGATTTCGAAGCTTTTACTGCTCAACCAGGTTGTAGTGAAGGTGAACATTTATGGCGTGTTGAAAATGAATCGTCTAAAAATGAAGATGATCCACAAGTTCTCAAAACATCATGTCGTTATGATTTTCATCAACAAGGTCCATCTGTTGTTGTTAGTATTTATGCTAAAATGCCACGTCCAGATCAAACACAAGTTGAATTAAATGCTGGTCGATTAAAAGTTGATACACGATTTGGTACAGCTACATCAACAAAACGCTTTTTAAATGAATGGGAATTATTTGGATTAATTGATGTTAATCAATCAACAGTAGAACTATTACAGAGTAAAATAGAAATAATTCTTAAAAAAGCTGAACCACTTAATTGGTCACGATTAGATCGGCCATTCCAAATACACTAGGTTTTTTTGATTATCTGATGTGATATGTTTTTTAATTTAAAAAAAAAGAGAATAAAAGAAAGCTAGAAATTTTTAACTAAGAGAGAATAAAATCACTTGATTCTGTTTTCTTTTATTTAAATATATGGGTATTAATGATCATCTGAAATTGAACTCTATTTATTAGTATAATTATTTCATATAATTTAACTTGGTAAATGAAAACCAATGGAAATCTTATATAATAGTAATTCAATTATTTTCTTTCAGATATGTACATAATTAACTAAAAAGTCTCTGTTAGTAGCCATAACTATAACGAGTACAGTAATAATATTAATGATGATACGAATCATTTTAACCATGAGAAAAAGAGAGATCAACCAAGTTAAAATTTTCTATTTCAAAAAAAACAATGTAATGCTTCAAATATAAAATTTTTGGCAAAAGATTTCGAAGAAATAATATTATCATATTCGATGTATACTAAATACTAATATCAATTACAAGAAGAAATAAATACTTTTATTCTATTGCTATGTCAATGTAGAACTGCATGTTTATATTTTATTTTAAATTTCATCAAGATTAATCTTCTAACAAAATGTAGAACATTAATAATTATTTACAATAGTAAAACTGCATGAATTCAATAGATAATTTTTTTTCTTTAAATATGAATTAACTCCGAAACTCAAATAATAATTTGAATGGTCAATGAAATTTTTGCAGATTTCAGAAGAATTTTTTTTTAAATTTCTGTTATGAGAATTCTACCTGGAGGAATGCAAAATTCAGAAAACAAATGTAAGGTTAGTGCGTTTTCTACGGCCTTCCATTAAAAACAATTATAGGCATTGCAAAAAGCATTTTTAATTGACGTTTTGACATATTTCTTTTTTCTTTTTGATTTTTGTAATTTTTTAATGGAAGGTCATGAAAAATACTGAGTCTAGTTTTTAAGAAACTTCATTCCTACCATCCACTTATAGAATCTTCATATGCAATACATCTGCAAGAGAACTTTATTGACTATGCAAATTATTCTATAGATTTATATTAGATGTTGACAAGCATAGCAAAAAAGTCAAAAAAAAAATATTGTTCTTATAATTTTGAACATTAGTCTATATTGCTTGACATATAAATTCATCATTGTTCAATTAATTATGCTAAATAAAAAAGGCATTTCGTTATATCCAGAACAAAATATTACACAAAATGTTTTTATTGAAATCAATCTATAACATAGATTCAGTATAAAATTACAGAATAAATCAAAGAACATGACACTTCATTTATAAAGCGTTCATTTGATATTATTATTTAAGTTAAAGATTCGCAATTATGAAAATTTATTGTTACAGCTAAAATTCAAGAGAGAGAAAAGCATTGGCAATAGAAGAACAAAAATGATTTACTAAACACAATACATATTATTCTATTAGAATAAATATTTTAATCTAAATTTCAATTTTACAAGAGAACACAATGAACTTAATAGAGACAACACTTATGATTAGTAAACATTTAAATTGGATTAAGATTATTGTTGTTGTCAGTCGTTCGTCTATTCGATGTACTTATCGATTTTTTCTTGTCGGCATACAACATTTGCATTGTCGTGCATGTATTATCTTCCAGAATCTAAGCATTCTATATGAGTTTTTTTTTTCAAGCAATCAACTAGTCAAAGCGTAATGCGTGTTGTTACTATCGTTCTTTTATTATGGCATAAATTAGGAATGACTTGTATAGTCTTTCATGCAGAAAAGTAATTTTTCTTTACCAATTTCCTGAATAAAACAAGTCAACTTAGAAAACCATTGTAACATTATAATCAACATAGACCGACACATAAACTTGCGACTTTTTTCTAACATAATAAAATATAGTTTGTAAAATATTCTCCATATTATAATTTTTATCTTACAGAGAAATCTGGTTCATTTTTCAACTTCATTCTT